TCTTCACGTAATCTCGAAGAAGAGATTTATATGGATGTTCTGCCAGGTTATTCTTCATTCTCACAGCCTGAGGCGGTGTGTAAGTTAAAGAGATCATTGTATGGTCTGAAGCAGTCTCCACGAGCATGGTTTGGCCGGTTCACTTTGGCGATGAAGAGGTATGGATATTCCCAAAGTGACTCAGATCACACATTGTTTCTAAAACGACATCAAGGGAAGGTAACAATGTTGATTATCTATGTTGATGATATGATTATCACTGGAGATGATTTGATAGAAATATCTAAGCTTCAAGAGAAACTTACTGAGGAGTTTGAGATGAAAAATCTTAGGGGGTTGAAATACTTCCTAGGGATTGAAGTAGCGAGGTCGACAGGGGGAATATTTCTCTCACAAAGAAAGTATGTGCTAGATTTATTGGCAGAGGTGGGAATGTTGGATTGCAAACCCTGCGAGACACACCAATTGTTCGAGAACCATAGACTTGGGGAGTATCCGGATCAAGTGCCAACAAATAAAGAAAGATATCAAAGGTTAGTTGGCAAACTAATTTATCTATCGCATACTCGTCCTGATATTGCATATACGGTGAGTATTGTTAGCCAGTTTATGCATGCCCCAAGTGAAGATCATATGAATTCAGTGTTGCATATACTTCGCTACTTGAAGTCTTCTCCAGGACGCGGTTTGAGGTTCTTAAAAAGGGGTCATCTTGAAATCGAAGGATTTACTGACGCAGACTGGGCCGGGAGTGTTCATGACCGAAGATCAACTTCAGGATACTTCACTTTTGTGGGAGGAAACTTAGTTACTTGGAGAAGCAAGAAACAGAAAGTCGTAGCATTATCAAGTGCAGAAGCTAAATTTAGAGGGATGGCCAAAGGGGTGTGTGAGCTCCTATGGCTTAAGAAGTTAATGTCAGAGATTGGGTTCGCTCCTAAAGCCGAGATGAAGTTGTTTAGTGATAACAAAGCAGCAATTGATATCTCTCATAATCCAGTTCAACATGATCGTACCAGACATGTAACGTCCTGAATTCGACCCACTTTCGTGATCAATAAAATGGATATGTGTTTCTCATTTCGTTTTAGTAAGTCTCGCCCGGAACTGATCATTCTCGGGATACTAACCAATAGGGAATGGCTAACTAGGAAAACGGTACGTGGACCCAAGAACTCAACCGTGAATTGAGTCCGATTCTGAGAAACGACGAGGGAATTATGCCAATGTGGGCCGGTCCAAGGAGAGTGACGGATTTGGTCTAGCCAGCGACGTACGATCGGATCGCGGGTGATTCCGCACGACCGAGAGTACGCGTGGCGAACGATCCCGAACTTATTCCGAACGATCGCGACCCCCGGAACTAGCGATAAATCCTCGCGTTCTCTTGGAAGTCGAGACTGTCACGACTCGAGTAACCCTAGGTCAATACGCGTAACCCCTAAACAGCCGCCCGTTAGTGAGAGACGCTAAAATCGCATTTGAGCGAAATCGATCGTGGAATTGAGTCTGGACTTCGGTGTCGAATTTCGTGGATGTACGCGACTATTTTGCAAGGTCAACGTCGTATAAGTGTGGCCAATTATATTTGGGATCCGTAGAGTCGAAAATTGGAAATTTGGCCCGGGACCGGAAAATTACCAAATTGCCCTTGGACCCCTAAGCCTTGGATCCGAATTTTAGAGGAATTATTGGAGGGTAAAATGGGCATTTTCAGCCCCCCCTTGTAGCGGAAAATAATGGACAAGTTTGCCCCTTCAAGTGAGTGGAGTTGACCTTTTTAGGCCCTTGGATCAATTGGATGATGGAATCATGGCCATTGGATCAATGTTTGTGGGAGAAAGGCATGATGGACATTTAGTGCAAGTAGTTCAACCACCCCACTCAAAAACCAAGTCAATAATACACTCATCTCTCTCTCTCTCCCCCATTTCCTTTCCCCCACTCCACCGGCCAACCCCTCTCCCACGCCTCACTCTCTCCCCCTCTCCCTTGTTCGGCCGTGAGAAGCCACGCCGGAGCACGCCGCCGCCGACCGCCGGACCGTCGCTCACCGTCAGCCCTTCTCGCCACCGCGCCACCCTTAGCCGCCTCACTCTCTCTCTCATTCCCGTCCATCACCATCACCGTCGTCCTTGCCGCCTTGAGCCGCCGCTGTTCGCCGCCGCCGCGAGGCCACCGTGAGACCAGCTCGGTCCGCCCGTTCCCCCACCTGTTCAGCTTTGTTTGGGAGTTGAGGAACTAAGTGAGTAACTACCCTAAACCCTAATTAGGCTAATTAGCATTTCTAGATAGGTTTAAAGTAATTTAGGGGTTAATTAAGGTGATTTAGGGTTGATTAATGGGCTGTTGATTAGTGGCTGGTTTGGTGATGATTTGGGGAGCCTAATGAAGTATTTTGAGGGTAAATTATCGGCCTAGACGAACCTGATTTGTGGCTGTCCCTATTGGATTAAATTGGACTAAGTTGGCTAAATTGGGCTTAACCGTATAATTGCCGTGAATGCCTCGTATTGTCCATGTCGTGGCTGGTTCATGCTCAATTGTGATCAATTTCGTGATGCTTTGTCGCGTGCATATTGTGGCCGAATAGTGAGGAGGTTATTGGGCCGTTAATTATGTGATTTACACGACTTAGTGCATGAGATTTATGTGCCAAGTATGTGCCGTGTTTGAATCGGACTTATTGAATTAATTGGGCAAGTTAGTTTGTAGTATTGAGCATGTTGAGATGCACATTGAGTTGGCATTAATTGATTTTGTGCCTAAGTGAAATTGAATGCCCATTGTGAATTGCATTGTTGCCCGGGTGCCAGAATTGCATGGACACGCATTTCGTATGCTGAGCATTGGCCTGATATGAGAATTGTGCGAGTATGCGTGCCTGACATGAGCATGTGATCACCTAATTGCCCTGATGCGTGTTACGAGGGGTTCAGATAAAATTTGGTGTGTGTACATGTGATCACATAAAGCCCTGATGCGTGTTACGCGGGGTATTGAACCCGTCCTGAGGCGTTTTACGCGGGACGATGCCCGGATTGCCGGAAGTTGGCCAACCTGATGCGTTTTACGCGGGTTCGGTCCGTATATGGAGATCGGTGTTGCGCCTGATGCGTTTTACGCGGGCTAGAGACACTGGACCTGATGCGTTTTACGCGGGCCAGTAAGTGTTGGATATTGTTAGACCTGATGCGTTTTACGCGGGTTGATTAATAAATGAGAATTGGCAGTGTGCAAGTGTGCATATTTGAGCCGGACCATGATCATGGGCATATTGATGGTATATGTGTGCAAGAGTGCATTGGCAGGTGTGCAAGCGTGTGCGTATCGGTGAACCGTGTGTGATGTAGACATCAAGGAGTATGAGCATGTGCATGGCGCACGTGTGGCTAAGTATGATCGCGTGTGCACCATGCATGGGTTCTGCACTTCTACTGCTATCATGAACTGTCTAACCTGCAGGGTCATTTATATGATCGATCTGGGCCCGAGGGCCTAGGTCAATTGGTTGTTATATTGGTCTGTTCGTGTGATTGTTTGCCTGTCAGGAGGTGCATGTTAGCCTAGTTTAGGTTTAGGGGGTTTACTCGCTGAGATTCGTTCTCACGGTTGTTAAAACCCACATTTTCAAACCCCCGGCCTTAAGGATGTCAGAAGTTCCAATCCGTTTTGGGATCCCGTCCCGGATAGACCGGGAGGTGACCGAGTACCCCGTAGGGAACGGGGATACGTATATTAGACATTTTACTATCGTATGGGTTGACGTGGGCGAGCAGCACTTTCAGGCCCACGAGTATATAGGTTGGTGCTTTAGGGACTACTCCGGGACCTTCGGACCTCTTAGGACCTTTGATGTCCCGTTCAATGGGCTAGGTGATATAGATCCCCAGTGTGCCGAGGCCTCGTTCGGAAAGGATTCTGATGACGGACACGGACCCGTCATCTGGGAGGTCGATGAGCCAGACCCGATGGATGAGGAGCCGTTAGACTGGGATTCTGACCCAGAGCCTATGGATTCGGATGGTGAGCCGGAGCAGATGGAGCAGGACCCCGAGTTGGATTCCATGGACTCCGAGATCGAGTTGTTTGACAGCTCTTCCGAGTCCTCGGGATCTGACCCGGACTGGGTACCTTAGGGTTTAGCCGTATCCCTAGTTAGGTCGGGCCAGTATCCTTTTGACCGGAGCCCTTCCTTAGGTTAGTGTTTAGACTGACCGCTCGGGCCACTTACCCCTTTTTGTCAGTAGTGGTCGTTGACCCGCTTTTGGTTTTTGTGCTTATGCTGTAAATGGATATTGTATATGTTTCCCTGATGTTAATGCAAGTGTATATTTATAATGTTGTTTGTTGTTTGTGCTATCCTTGGTCACGGTGTTTTAAATTGTACGGGTGTTTATGTTGCTTCCGCATGTGCCTTGATCTCTGAGTTGGGTGTTGGGTCGGCGACGCGTCCTGAGACGTCGCACTTGAATCGACCTCGGTAGGGTTGTCGAGTGCCGTAGGGTTCGGGGCGTGACAAAACATGTTGAAGTGGACCGTCATTTTATTAAGCAAAACTTGGACGCCAAAGTGATTCGATTTCCATTTGTATGATCTGAAGATCAGTTGGTAGATATTCTGACGAAGGCTGTATCAAGCAGGATCTTCTACAGCTCACTTGACAAGTTGGGCATTCACGACATCTATGCACCAACTTGAGGGGGAGTGTGAGAATGAGCTGTAAAATATATTTATGATTGTAATTAGCTAGAATCAACGATTATAGTTACCTAGTTTAGAGGATATATTTTTTAAGATTCTTTCTTTTCTTTGTATATATATACGCCTCTAGGTCATTATAAATGAATGAAGAAGAAATACAGAAAAGTGAGGAATGTGGTTTTCTTCCTCGAAATATCTTTGTGTTAACAATACTCCCATGTAGAGTTTATTCACCACATTCCAATGACCCAGAATTCTCGAGTTAATTCCAACAATTTCCATCATGAGCTTCATAATCACAATATATGACAAATTTAAGGATGAATGTGACTACTCCTTTACAGACATTATTTCTCACAAGGGGCCACTTCCATAACAAGCTTCTTCTATAGTTGAATGCATCAATCACTAGTTTAATAAACGGCCCCATTTTAGCAGACTATGGAGAATTACATAACACATAAAGGACACAAGTTTGCCTCAGTAGTAATAGCTACTAAGACAGATCGACCAAAGCAATAGCTAGATAACAGCATGAGGATTCGAGTCGAGAAATTCCCAAACATCGGCATCGAAAGAGAGCTCGTTCCAACCATTTCGTCCCTCTTCCATAGCAAATTCCCGAGGCCACGAATCCGTGCCTGGCTGTCCTTCTAAGCCACTCGTTGAGGTGATGAGCCCTTCGTTGGGGCCGCTTTCGGATAACAAATTTTCCCACCAAGCACTCTCCTTGTCCTGATGAGATAACATTGGAGATGATTGTTCAATGTTTTCACCTGGTGGAGTCCTTGAAGCCACCAGCGTGGCTTTTATGTCGAGCCATGCCGAGCTCTTCGAGAATGGCCAAGGTTGAGGCCTTATGACGTTCACTTTAGTGGCAAATTTTGTAGGCGAGTTGTCTTCCTTCAGCTTCTGATAGACGACCTTTTCAGCCAAGTGGGTGTTCCAATAGTTCTTCACGTCGTTCGCGGTTCTTCCCGGAAGTCTCCCCGCAATCAGTGACCACCTGCATGAACTTGGACAGATCATTATTGAGACTATGATAATTAGGAAGAATGACTCATTAGTTCATCGGTCAGCATACTTGACAATTCTATGTGCCCACTTGTGTCTTGCTTGTTTCAGTTATCCGTGCAGGCATGGGCTTATTTCAATTCACATATCACCAGTTAACTCAATTATCAAATCAGGGTAACAATATTTGTATTCCGCACGAATGAATACGGCAACGGAATATCTTTTCTTGAAAGTCGTTCTTTGGTTTTTATTAAAGAAAACAGGTTTTGTGATGACTTCGGACAAGAAATATCACAGGTAGATAAGAAAACTAATATCTTCACTTCAAACAGCATTGTACATGCACAAATTATGCCGGAATTTAATTGACGAGAACGCTTGGAAAAGACAACCATTTCAATGGAGCCGAACGTAAACAAACTATGCTGGAATTTAATCAATGACGTGGCACCCAAGCTATAGATACACGCCAGAATTTAATCGACGATGTGAATTTGAAAACTACAGCTAAGAAATATGCTGGAATTTAATCGATAACGTAAGTTTTGAAACTAAAACTATGATGCCGGAAAATAATGATAATTGAAAGATAGTATATTTGTTTGTTTGTGCACAAGGGTCTCCAATAGACGAACAATGGTATCTATAGTGGTTATGCCATAACCATCTCTAAGGAGTTTTTTTGCGGCTATAGCCATGTTCCCTCATCTCCAATAATCTTGTGCTCATGCTCTCACAAATTCACAATGCCATGATCTTATCTTCAAGCGGTTGCTCCCTTAAAATCACGTTTTAGTTATTCCACAACTTCCTGAACTCCGTTGCTTCACTCACTAGTGATTTCGAACTCATAAATGCATCCTAACGCCCTCTGAGCATCCAATTTTCTCTTGATACTTTAAATCGGTATCCATCACCCATTCTAATTGATATCCTTGTCGATTGTCGCTAACCATACATTGTCATATATCGACAACTGATCAATGGTCATTGATGTACATCAATATCAATAATAATCCTTATGGTCATCGACATTGGATCACATGCTTAATAATACCCTGCACTTTAGTCACATGTCTATCCATGTCGATGACCTGATTAATTTTGGGTACAAACAAGTAGAGAATTAACTGACATTATACATGCCGATATTGGGTAAGAAAAGGACATGCATGCCCCTTAGCTTGTAATTTCATTGCTCTTAATACATAGATAAATAATTTTGTATTTCGAATTTGAGATTGATTAATTTGTCCAGAACTTTAACTACTACATTAATATTTCATTTGTATTTGTATGCATTTCTCGATTGAATTCAAGACATCCTATCACTTTGCTTTTGTGTTTATCCGCTTTGGTTACCTCAAAATCTACAACTTCACGTCTAAAATTTTTAAATGTCTTATGCGCTTAGCTTTGATTATTCAATTCCATTGTCTTTGTCTATGCCGCCTCTTTTTTCCCTTTTTTCCCCTAATCGAAATGGCGAGCATGGACAACTAGATTGCATGCTTCCTCTAAGCATTACCAGGAGAATTCCACACCTCGCTACATTAATATTCGGACTTAAGACTGTGAAAGGGCCTTCATTTTGCCTCACTCACGACCCATTGGTCCGGGGTAAGCAAGCCATGTCACCATAATTTCTCACTGAAGTGCTAGAAGTCCATAGATCATTCCCGAAAGTGAGATACTTGTATTCAAATTTGCCACCTCGCATTCAACAAGTACCACTAGACCATCTCTCACCTCTAAAGCAAGTTAATCTTCTATTCTTTATGTCTATATATTAAGAGTCCTATTAACGAGTGTTCAGCACTTGTTAAACATACCTTAATAAGAAAATATTCAATTTTTAGAATATTGATTATGCATATTACGAATGCAGTCAATGCATGGAAATTTGCAATGTTTTTTTATTTAGTTGTTTATCAAGTGCCACTAGGATATCACATAACAAAATCCTTATATTAAAATAGAATTCTAACATTTGCTCTTTAATATGGTATAACGTTTCACTAAAACCCTGCGCATAAGTTGGACTTTTCCCCATGTAAATGATCATTGTAAAGGGCCCTGCATAATTTGGGCACGACGGTTATTTAGGTTGTTGCAGTGCTTCTACATCAATCTCTCTGTCTCTCTCGTCAATTGAATCTAGTTGTCCAACCGTCTCTATCAAAAACAAGAAAGTTCTACAAGGCAAATCCAAAGACGCTGAAGTCTGGACTATTTTGGTAAAAATTGACGGCACATAATCGTTTCAGACAATGATACCCTTTATTAAAAGTCTGTGTTTGCCCAAAAAGAGAATTGTGACGAGAAATTCACTGATGGCAACACTCAGGATCTTGACACAAAGTGGCTCAGATTGTAGTTGTTGTAACATTCTTTTTCCCCAACCTTTACAACATGCATTCTAGGGTCAAGCAATAGGTAATAGGATCAATCTCATTCTCGGTGTGAGTTTCGTCTTGGTTCTGTCCTATTGATAATGATGACTAATCTTAAAGTATTTATAACATCTAGTCTCACTAAGAACTTGATATTTCTTAAATGGGTAGTTTGTTTTGTGAAAAATAACTTCCAGGAAAATATTTTCCGGATTTCCCGGCATTCTGTTCACGGAAAATAAATAAGTCAAGGAAAACATTTTCCATAAGAGGAAATCATTTTCCCACCTCCTTCTTTTACCATTCATTTTAATTATTTTTATTTTTATTTTCCTTTTTCTCTTTTTTTTAAATTCTAATTTTTTATTCTTTTTTCTTTTTTCTTCTTCTTCGGCCGGTCGCCAGCCATAGGCGAGGCTTGAGCTCGCCAGATCAACAACACTTGAGCATTGCCAGATGGTAGTAAGGCTCGAGCCTCGCAGATCGACAACACTCGAGCGTCGCTAGATGCTAGCGAGGCTCGGGCCTCGCCCGAGGCTGGCGAGCTCGCTCACCGTAGCCTTGCTAGCTCAAGGCCTCCCAAGCCGTAGTCTGGCGAGCTTGGGAGGCGGTAGTGAGCAAGCTTACTGGCCTCGGGCGAGCTCGACCTCGCCAAATCTGGCGAGCTCGGGAGGCGGTAGTGAGCAAGCTCACTGGCCTCGGGCGAGCTCGACCTTGCCAAATCTAGCGAGGTGGAACCTTGGCTGAGGCTGGCGAGGCTCGGCTTGCCGGAATCTAGCGAGCTTGAGCCTCGCCACTCTCAAGCCTTGCCAGCCTATGGCGAGGCTTGAGCTCGATGGCCATTGACTGGCCGAAGAAGAAGGGAAAAAAAAGAAAATTAAAATTAAAAAATAATTTAAAAATCGATTTTAATAAATAAAATATTAAAAAAATTATTAAAAGTAGTGCATGGAGGAAGATTAGATTAGATTTTTACCAAATAGCGGAAAATATTTTTCGAGTCTTTTTCAGATTTCAGCAGAACACCGGAAAATTGTGGCATTTTCCTAGAAAATATTCATAAAAAATGTCATATTTTCCGCGAAATGAACGGAACCTTAACTAATGATCACAAACTACTCGAGGAGTTAATGCTAAACAACGGCCCACCATATATTCGAGTACCACATGATATTTACACAAGATTCATTTAAATTGCATGCCGTCATCATGTGGGTATCATATCCACACTAAAGTATAATCGGATTTTGGTGAAATTGTAATAATTATTCATATATGGAAAAAAGTGATTTGTTTATAGAAACTGTCATGGTAAGGTTATTTCTCCCTCCTAAACTCTAAAGTGTTTTGAGAAGAAAGAAAAAACTCTACGAAATAATTCCTCGAAGCATTGGACTTCCTTGGTTTTGTGGCTGACGAGAGTTTGGACCACTCAATATTTGTACAGTCATTTTCACAAAATTTCTTTCATTTTCCAAGTCACGATGGGGCTCTCTGTCCTTTGCCATCGCCCCTAGCCCTATTTGGCAGGTTCCATGCCATTAAGATTTTCCTTTTTCATTTTCAGTTTATTTTCCCTTATATATTTGGCACAAGTTCATTTCTTGATTAAAAAAAAAGTTCTTAAACATGTTCATTAAAAAAGTTAGAATTTTTATTACTTACACGTGTTAGCTCATATTACGTTTGAACTCTTTAATTTGCTAGATTTTAAGTGGAATTTGGCTAATCGAAACGAGGTACATATACAATAACCATTATTTATTGATTCATTTGATAAATATTCCTTTCTTGCTTTATCATTTTGGGAGTTGAATCATCTTCATCTAAGATAATTGGCGTTTTATGGTTTAATGTTACTTATTTTTGTATCACCTCAACTACTCATATTTTGTGCTATGACGAAATCGAATGCTATGAAAGTGTTCTGGAAAGCACCTAAAACTCGTTGAATTCATCCTTAAACAACGATTAATAGCAATATGTTTTCTCCATGTTGGAGTTTACTGAACGGGATTGATTTCGAATTTCCAAAAAAGGTCAAACGTGATGGTTGACATTCTTACGCTTCCTAAACACATTTCCCGTGAGAGATTATGTTGGGCAAGTGACATTTGTAAAGATTTTCGAATATTTTGAATTCCATCTTAGATTGCACTAAATAAATGATGAGATTGTCTACAATTCGGTGGATATTGGGAGGATGTCTAATCCCACCTTATCCAACTTAACCCAATTCGAATCTGGATGATTAAGCGGATATTTTAGCATATGGGCTTCATATTCATGTACTCAACAGGTCCTTTACATCTCTTTTACATACAATATTTTCTGAACCTAGTCTTTTCTATCTTTTTTTATGATTTCGCTAGAAAAACTCATTTTCGAAGCCCGAAAGAAATGGTCGAAGAGATAGATGATTTAATAGTGTTGGCATGTTGCCATGATAATATATATGATATGCGACAAGCAACACAGTCACAAACTTTTGCAGAGCATTACTCACTGACAAGTAACATAAATCTATTTTTTTTCGAAACATAAATCTATTTGAGGAGTGGAAGTAGCGTGGGTCTATATATTGATGTATGTATATGCTCGATTTTAAATGGATATTTAAGCAGATGGGCTTCATATTCATGCACTCAACAAATCTTTCACGTCTCTTTTATATACGATATTTTCTGAACCCAGTCTTTTCTATCGTTTGTGATGATCCCGCCGGTAAAACTCACGTTAGAAGACCCGAAAGAAATGGTCAAAGAGATGGATGATTTATTAGTGTGGACATGATGATGTATATGATGTGCGACGAGTAACACAAACTTGGGAGAGCATTACTCACCGATTACCAAGAAGCCTCCGAAGCCGGATGATCATGTCAACCTCGTCTTCTTGGAACGCCCCTCTCTTGATGTCGGGCATCAGATAGTTCAGCCACCTCAACCTGCAACTTTTCCTGCACCTGTTCAACCCTGCAAACTCATACCCATTGATACACACTCTAACTATAACAGCGAAAATAGCTCTCTCCCACTCTCTCTCTCTCTCTCTGGGGTGATCAATAGTATACCTGCTCTGTGAGGGACTTGGTGCCATTTTCCTTTACCATATTTTTCCACGCACTTCTTCAGCAACACGTCCTCTTCCTCAGTCCATGCACCTTTTCTCACTCCTATTGCTCCCTTCATTGTCTCCTCTCTCTGTGTCTCTCGCGCGCGCGCGCGCACTTTTTTGGTGCAGAAACAATTCAGGAACAAAGTATGAGCACGTGTTGAACGAAGGTTCACTTCAAAAAGCCATATATGTAAGCAGGGGATCAAAGTTCAGTAAGGCCCATTTGTCCAAATATAGGTATAAAGTGTTATGGGTGTACGCCGAAGTGAGTGAGAGTGAGTGCCGTGCATGTCTAACATCCACACACACACATCTCCAACTTCTTGCGGCTCGAACGATGGCGTTTTCTTTGAAGGGCTGCTAAGCTAACGGCACCTTTGTTCCTTGTGAATAACGGTGCCTTTTTTTTTACAACAAAGTGCCATTGAGATGCAATTGGCAACCAGAACCCACACAATATATAGACATGGAGCAAATTTGGAAAAGAATCTCTGACAGAAAATTTTCAAACATTGGACAATATTTCTTTCTTCCAGAAAAGAAATGAAACCAACAAGAAGGAAATTTAATTAGTGCATGTGAACCTTTTTTTAACTTTGAATAACTACTTAAATGTAAAAACTCAATTCTTTTGTAGTGTACTCACAAAAACATTTTAATCTATTATAGATATAATGCAAGTCAAATTAGCAACTACACGTTCATTTTTACCTAATTTAATTAGATTTCAAAGAATTACCAAACAATCAAAATTTTGTACACTGTAATATATCTCTTTATGGCATTTGTTGAACTAAAACACAAAAGATATTTATTTAGTTTAATTATTTTGAATTGAAAGTCGGCTGGCATGGTGAAAAAGTAGTGTTGTACAAAAAAAAACAGGGAGGCAAAAAAATTAATCAAACAAATATACTTATAGCTTTCAAATATATTTCATTTTTTGGCTAGTCATAAGATCACCGTGATTTTGATTTTTGCGTGAACTTGGACTGCTATGGCTCGAGCTGAACTTATAGATAATTTAAGTTGTGTAAATATGGTGTTACTATTACTAAAATAAATAGCCATATGTAACAAAAAAAAATGATAGCATAAAAGTTCAAAGTAAATAATTTTGTTATTTTAAAATTTTGGACTTTTATTAGTTTTAAATCGGGTAAGACATTATAGTTAACAAATTTGAGAAGTGAATAGAAACTCTGCTAGATTTTTTCCTTTATTAAATTTGTCATATTTTTTTTTCGATCTTATTTAGACTTATTTTGAATTAGACCACATCGAAGTGAGTTTCTCGTTAATTGTCCATGTTAGATGAGTTATTTTTAACTGAATTGAGTAGGTAAATTCGTTTTTCACCATTTGAAAATCATATTGGATATCATTTTACTTGTAATAAGAAAAAAAATTAAAGTGTGACATGAAACCGGTAAAGCAAAGAGAGAATAATAAGCAAAACAAGAACCACAGATTGCTGAAAATCACTTATGTGATGGTCTAGTTAACGCCGTCATCTTACATGGCACAGCCAGTGCTAACATGAACGATTTTTACAATTTTTTAATCAAAAAAGTCTTCCTCATGATACTCTCCCTTTTTGTCAATCACCGGGGCCTCAATAATGGCCGACGGAGCAAAATAGGAAAATAATATAAAAAGAAAAAGGAAAGAAAAAAGGACAAAAAATTCAAAAATGTTGTGAAAATCATCCACGTCAATGCCGGCCATACCACGTAGAACAGCTGGTGTCCACGTTAGCTATTGCATGCCAAAATTAGCTAGAACAACTATATTGTCAAATTATCAAAAGATTTAACACCAAGTTGGCTAAATTGAAAATATTAGGACTAAATTGGCCGTCGTACAATAGGTTTAAAATTTTTTGGACAATTATCCCGTTAAATTTTAGAGAGAGAATTAGATAGATCCATTCTATAAATGATATACGATGTGAAAAATATGTATCAAGTTGAATCTTTTTAATAGTAAGTACATCGATCACTATTCTTTGATAAGTTGTCTCCAAATCTAATATTGTAGACAATGTCAATCAATAATTTCTCCATTGATCATATGCCTACAATGGGGCACACGTATCTATGTCACTACAGAAATTTTGCAAATATATATCTTTTCCAGTGATGTTAGGTATACTACGACTTGTACATAAAATTGATACATTAAATGATGTGGCAAACTGTAACTGCACCTTTAAAGAAAGGAAAATTTCCAAATAATGGCCTGAAGTGCACTCGTTTTCTCAAATAAGGTTATGAAGTGGACATTGTCTCAAAAAATGATATGAAGTGCCCTCATTTTCTCAAATAAGAGCCTAAAGTGGCCATATTAGTCTCAAAAAAGGGTTTGACTTTGCTGGCTAAAGAGCATTTTCATCCTTTACTTTTTTTGAATGTTTTTTTCCTTTTTTTCCGTTTTCCGTTTTTTCTTTTCCTTTTCTTTTCTTATTTCTTTTCCCTCTTTCCGCCGCCGGCCATGAAGAGGTCGCTGGACTTAGGCGAGGGTCGACCTCGCCGGCAAGGGTCGCCGACACTAGACTCAAGCGAGGGCGACCCTTGCCTGGGCTAGGCCTATCTCTTGTTATTTGAAATTATATTTACTTCAAGGATTAAAGTCGGATAGATTTGAACAATGTTAACCTTCTATTACTCCTCAAATCCGTCCCAATTCCGTTATTGATTTTGCTATAGTATCTCGAAACCTGCCTTACTAAATTATTCCGCTTCCTATAAGGTACCCCTCGACCCAAACACCTCTCTCTCTCTCTCTCTCTCTCTCTCTCTCTCTCTCTCTCTCTCTCTCTCTCTCTCTCTCTCTCTCTCTCTCTCCACAAGGTCGGCGACCACATAATGACCGGAGAGTTAGAGAGGTGGCCAATGCACATTTGAAAGAGAAGTAAAGGACCCCAGGGTTGGTTGGTGGTAGTGAGGGCTTCGACGGAAGTGTTAAAAATATGTCTCGAGTTTGAGTATGAAAAGAAACCTTTCCTAATTAAAGTAGGTTTCTTATTTTTAATAGGTTTCCTTGTTGGAGAAGGTTTCATGTTTTGGACTATATATAAGAAGTGTCTTCTTTGTGAAACACATTCTAGAGGCAACTTTTTCGTGAATTATACCTTGAGAGCTTTTAGTGTTGAAGCCAATTAAATCTTGTGAGTCGGATTTGTGAATTCTTTTGTAAGATTGAGAGATAATTTCATGAGAAATTGCGGGGCTAAACACTATGTGAGTTATTTTGTGTAATTGAGGGCTAGGAAACACTAAGAGTGTTTGAGTGACTCGAGTGTGATTGTAATCTCCGTTTTATCACTTGATCTATAGTGGAATTCTTTACTGCTCTCTATGTGGACGTAGGTCACCCGACCGAACCACGTAAATTTGGTGTCTGATGTATTTTTGTACTTTGTCTACTGTACTGTTTAGTCTCTTGTTTCCGCAACAATTGGTATAAGAGTTAGGCTTGACTAAGTTGAAGTGAATCGATAGCGATAGAAGAAGGAAAAGTGAGAATCGATAGATTTGATGGGAATGATTTTGGTTTCTGGAAGATGTAGATTGAAGATTATCTCTACCTGATGAATCTGTACTTACCATTGTGTGAAGACAAACCAGAGTCAATGAAGCAACCTGAATGGGAATTGCTGGATGGACAAATATTTAGTGTTGTTCGGCTGACGTTGGCTCGTAACGTCGCGTTTAACATCGTGAAAGAGAAGACCATTGCAGGTTTGATAAAAGCCCTGTCGGAAATGTATGAGAAGCCCTCTTCGATCAACAGGGTTTACTTGATGTAACGTATGTTTAACATAAAGATGGGCGAAGGAGTGTCAGTTGCTAATCATATCAATGAATTCAATGTGGTCGTTAATCAATTGAGTTCAATTGAGATTGACTTTGAAGATGAGGTACGTGCTTTGATCCTATTATCCCCATTGCCTAATAGTTGAAATACTAGTATTACTGATGTCAGTAATTCCTTCAGGTTAACAAGCTTGACGTTTGATGCGGGTTCGTGATTTGATTCTGAGTGAGGACATCCGTAAAAGAGAATATGGTGAACTTGTGTCTATTGCTTTAGTAGGTGAAATTAGAGGAAGAATTAGTACTCGTGATAGCAGAAGTAGTATAAACCTGAACAGAACAGATGTAGTCAGTCTAGGACTAGTGGTGTTGTTATCTATTGGAATTGTGGCAAGAGGGGACATCTCAGAAGAGATTGCATTAACCTGAAGAATGAGAAGCATAAGGGAATTATAGTTGAGTCTGCAGATGATGTTACAATTGTAGCTGATTATAATTTGGATAGTGTTGATTATGTATTGTCTATCATTGAGGATTTGTCGTTTGACGGATGGATTATGAAATTTGGTTGTTCGTTTCATACTACACCAAATAGAAACTGGTTTACTACTTATCAGTACATGGATAGTAGTAAAATGCAGTTGGGAAACAACGCTGAGTGCAATGTTGTGGGTGTTGGTGATGTCAGGATCAGAACGTATGATGGTATCGTGAGGACATGGCATGAATATCGATAGGTGAAAAGCAACACACCATCAAGGTTCTTGGAAAGCATAAGAGGCATAAGAATATGGTTACTGACTCAAGACAAAGCAATGGACTAACTAGCAGGTGTTCACTCAAGGAACATTGGAGTGCGAATGTGAAGTTCAAATTTGACGAAGCAGTTGAGACTAAGGAGGAATGGGTGTGCATTTTGGAGGAGACAGTTACTTGAGTAAGAATATAGGGCAGCGATCGTGCAAAAATGTGAAAGTAAGATCATGGGGTAGTCAACGTGCTATCTAGGAAGAGCAATCGCTTGAGAGTAGAATCATGGCATCATGGGCACGAAATTTGTGAAAATTGACTCAATCAATGGAAACTGTTCAAAGAAATACACCACTAGAAATCGTCAGAAAGCAATTACTACTAGACCATTATAAGGGATAAGAACAACATGAGTGTTATAACTTTCGTACGACACTCACTTGAATGTCATAACTTTTTTTCCCTCACTTAACTGCCACATCGGAGTAAAATCGATCATTTAAGTGCCATTTCTGGCAAATCGTCCTACGCGAATTTTTTGTATTTTTTAAAAATTTATTATTTATTATTTTCCATTTTTCTTTGTTTATTTTTTTGTACGCTAGCCACAAAGGCCTCGCCCTCGGCCGGCAAGGCCACGAAGGCCTTGGGCGAGGCCATCATCAGCTGTGTTCAAGGGCCTTCGCAGCAAGGCCATGATGGTCTCACCCTCGCCGGTTGCTGGCGAGGGCACAAAGGTCCTCACTAGATATGGGCAAGGCCGCCTCGCCCGCAGCCAGTGGGGTCATGAAGGCCTTCGCCCATGGTCGGCAAGGCTCCAATGGCCTCGCTCAGGGCCATCGCGACCTCCCCGGT